GACTTTTATTAGAGGCAGGTCTTTATGTCTAACTCCCTCTGTTTGATATGTAGAGTTGGTCATAACAGTTCGTACGACGCCTCGTTACCAATGATCTCTCTCTCTCCCTCCCTCTCTCCTGCTCTCTCTGCTCGGTGTGTCTTATGTTTAGTTATTCCTCTTCCTCCTTTAATGATAATGATACATTTAATGAAAGTAGTTGATTTGCTGTAATAGAGGCGAGGATCAGTGTATTGGAAGTGCTCCTCCTCTTCCCTGCACGTCCTGAGCAGCAGAAACCAGAGTGGATCGGTAGACTGCGGCCTGGCACTCTGCTGACCAGTGGTGGAAATATCATCAGTCAGTCAGTCAGTTAGTCAGTCAGTGAGATTCACGATTATAGGGCTGGCCCTGCTCTTGCAGTCCAGCCTATAATAGGCTACTTTATAAACTGAACACTGTTCCTTTAAGTGTTCCTGTTGTTCTGGATAATCCAGTCTACAGGCAAAAGCCAAATGTTCCTCCTCTTTCAGCCTTGAAGCTGATGTAGCCACTTGTTCCTACACCTCAGTTTCACCCAAGACCCATCACACTGTCCAGATTTTTGATCACTGGCTCACTCTGGTCATTTAAATGAATTTAAAAAAAAGAGTCAAGCAGCACACCCACAGAGTCTATAAGTCCTTCACATCATGATCTGGGCCTGACTTACAAACAGCAGCAGTAATGTTTTAGGGTGTCAGGATGTGCTGCATGTGTAGAGAACCTCTGGGTTTGCATCAGTGTGTGTGAGTGTGCGCATCCCTGCTCGGTGCCCAGGTGATACTGATCGATGAGCATGCCTGCTCTGTGTCTCTCAGCTCCCCTCAGCACTGATCTCCGCTCTGGGATTTATGAAGCCCAGGGGCTGATCCACAGTCAAATTATGTGGGCGGGGCACAGCTGGACTGCATGCCTATCCATCTTCCCCACTCAACTCAGGCCCAAAAACAGAGGGGAACTTTTCATTTTTCCACCGCTGTAAATGCTGGGTTCTGTCAGGACCACAAATCACCTGGGCAGACAGAGTGGAAGTGTTCGCACAAGCTGCTAAACTTGAACTTGACATCAGGGCAGCAGACAAGATGTTCTCCCAGCATGCAACATGCCTGTCAGGCGAGCCAAATGGTTTGGACAGTGATATGTGTTTCTACTGATTTTCATTTTTAACATGAACCAAATCCAGTAATTCACTTTCAAGAAGAATCAACATCAAATCCCCAAAACAACATCTGTCTAAGTTCAAGTGATGAAGCCTGGAGGGCCACAGGCAGTATGACGAAACTGAAGAAGGAAGTCAGGTGGCATTGCCATAGGCTGTGTCTCAGTTCAGGGGTCGCATCTTTCAGAGGCTGCATCTGAAGACCAACTGTGTCACAGTGGAGCAACTAGACTCTCCCATTTCAAAGGCTCCTTCAAATACACCTTTCTTTCCTGGACAACAAAGATCCAACAGGTGGCTCCTTCATGGCCCAACCTATCCCAAGATTCATTCATTGAATTCAGTTCAACAGCTAACAGTACAGCAGTAGAAGGGCCTTAAAACCTAAAGTTTCTTTAAGGGAAGGTTATGTGTTGTCAAGGTTGCTTGGCAACAGGAGCCAGACTTTGCCGCGCAACAGTAATGGGGCTTTCAGATAGGATGTGATTTGCATTGCACTCACCGCTCGGGTCAGCACACTGTTTGGGGGATTTGTGAAGGACAGAGCAAACATAGTTCTAGCGGGAAGCTCCTGCTGTGTTTAAGGTCTGTCTCTGCCAGCAACAAAGATGTTCCTTCCCGTGCTAAGAAACAAGCTTTAGCACTAGCCCCGCTAATAACAAGAAGAATGGGTGCAGCAAGGAAGTAGCTGTGGGTGCTCTCAGGTACAGAGAGCAGCCAGGGGAAGGAGATCCATTTCCACAGTGACCGGTTTCAGGTCTATTTTCTGTTTACTTTCCATGCCTGGCTGGATACCTCGTTTGTATTGGCGATCAAAGTTCAACTAGAACGAACTCTGACTGCTGCACTCGCGCAAGCTCGTAAAACAGTGCACTGAACTGCACCTGTGCTTTGCTTGGCACACCTGCAAACCACCTTTGGAAAGCAATTGGAAATAATGGGCTTCAGAGCACTGGGCTTCATTCTGTCTGAAAGCCCCATAAGAGCAGGCAACAGCTGGTGATGCACAGAGAAAATCCTCAGTTGACCAGACTGTCTCAATTTGATTCAGCCTTCAGTCTACAAAGGGCCACACCTTTGTAGACTGCATCAGTGGGACAAAGAGGGAGGACTCACACAGGTGACCACTGTTCATCTCCAGTTTCCTACAGATCTCTTTTAACTGTGACCACAATCCTTCCCTAACCTAACCATGTGGTTATTATTGTAACCAAGTCAACAATAATCTTTCATGTCGTTTTTGTGCCTAAACCACCAGAGCACATTCCCGTCATAAAACTGATTCATGAAGGCAAAAGATTATTCCTAATTACAAACTATTTAACTAAGAGGAGTTGTTGCTCTGTTTCCAGTGTAACTGAATAGAACGTTTCAAGCCCTTCTAGACAAGAATGAATTACAATTTAATGATGTTTATGATTTACAAACATTAATATGTTAATCTAATGTTAAGCTGCTAAGATGCAGCTAGAGCTGTCTAACATGGAATTCCTGATAATTATGTTTCATGCTGGGGTTTATTGCTTCATATTAGAGACTTTTATCTTCTAGATGTGGACATAAACGGGTCGAGTGGTGTATTTACTGCAGCTGCAGCTGGATGGTGCTGTCTGTGTGTATGTCACTGTGTGTGAGGGGAAGGGAGAGAGACAGAGAGAGAGAGGCCAGTAAGGGCCTCACTGTTCAAACATCTCAAAGTTTGCCGACGCGTCGTCTGCCTGCCAGGCCTGAGACAGCTCCGGCTCCAGGATTTCACACACCTACATGCCACATTCTCAAACTGCCTGACACTCATTTCACAAACACACACACACACACACACACACACACACACA